GGCGGCGGCAGCAGCGGCGGCGGCAGCGGTCGCAGCTGCAGCGATCGCCACCGCTGCCGCCACCGAGTTCTTCTCCCTCTTGTTGCGCACGTACTCGTAGGTGGTCAGCCCGAGGCAGGCGATGTAACCGTGAAAGAAGCACAGGTGTAGCAAGAGTATGGCCACGATGGCCGAGAGAATGCCGATGGCGGATATGGCGATAATGAGAGTGGTGTCGGAGGCAGGAGCGATAAACGGAATCACCGGATCGGTAGTGCTGCTGGTAGTCGTGATGATAGTGGTGGTGGTGGTGGTTGTAGTGTTGTTGTTTTCATTGTCGTTCTCGTTCTCCATGGCGGCGGTTGGGCTGTTGGGCTGGCGTTCTCGGTCGGCGAGAAGCAGGGAGAAGGAGAGCTCGGTGACGGAGAGGCCGGCGACGGACAGGCTTGCCAAGATCGCGGAGATCAAACAGACGAGGAAAGCACGGTAATTTCTAGCCCCGATGCAGTTGTTCAGCCACTTGCAATGATGGTCGAATCGGACGATGCATTTGTTGCAGATGGAACAGTGCTTGGTCCTCTTGCTCTCGGTGGTGATGTTGCACAGGTGGCATCTGCCGTTCTCGATCACGTGCGCGTGCCTCCGTCGGTCGAATTCCGGCAGAACTTTGTTCGTCGGCTGAGACCTGACCCGCGGGTCCGCCGGATCCAACAGAACCACCGTCAAGTGCGAGCAAATGTGCGTGAAGAAAACGGCAGCGATCACGACCGAGAAAACTGGGCGTAGACTCCTCGGCTCGAGCAGCGGCGTCAGTATCGCGAACGTGTTCACCACGATGATCAAGATCACGATCCAGCCGGTCACTTGTTGGGGATGCAACGGCAACTGAAGTCCATGCACGCGTCTAAACTTTCGCCGTTCCGGTATCGCGAGCACGATGTTGTTGCTGTTGCTGTTGCTGCTGCTTTGCTGCCCCGAACACCATCTCCGTAAAATATCCCTCGAAAAATTTCCCTTTCTTTCGTTTCGCATACCGCGCAACCACACAGATCCTTCTTTCATCCGCCAAACGTCCGCTGCTAAACATTATCCTCTCCTTCTCCCGTCTTCCTCCTTTCTTCCTCCGCACTCTCGTCGTCGACAACGACAAGGATAACCACATATCCCTCTCCTTCTCTCGACAGAGAAGATCCTTCTCCCTCTATTCTTTTCTACTTTTCATTCTTTCACTCTCTTTTTATTTCTCCCTTCGCTCACTTTGCCTTTTCTTTCATTCCCTCATTCTTCCGTGACACATGCCTTCTTCGCCTTCTCCATACATCATTCCTATTCACTTGTTTTCAATTCATTTACCTTACTAAATCTTACGACACTTGTCACTTCGATCCATCGTGATCGTCCTGCACGACGAGAAGCTCTCACTTGTCACGACACTGCACTTTTCTTTTCTACGTCTTCGTAGCACGTCTTCACCGCGAAACTCAACCGTATACCCCTCTCTCTCTTTCTCTCTGTCTGTCTCGACTGGCGACAGAACGCCCGCTTTCAATCGATATTCGCATAGCAACCTCTATAAACCCCCGTGTAAACCAGCCGAAATGTCTTAAATTTTTCATGGAAATTGTCGCGTATCTCCCCCTCCATATTGCACCAAGCAAGCACACCCGTCTTTCCAACGCCCTTCGAACCTTATACATTTCCTCTTCGTCTGTGTTGACTCTATTTTTGTTTACTTCTTTCTTCGTTTTCACATTTGAACGTTCGTTTTTTGAACGAAATTGACAGGATAACATTCCTGCTTTTCTATTTTCTGTTCTGTGTTTTTTCTTTGCTCGATACCACCAGAACATCGTCATCGATTTTATTTTTTCCTTCCAATTGTCTCTCGTAGTTTGTTTTTCACGCCTAGTGCCTAAAATTATAACAAACAGGCAGCGTTTCACGGTGAATCACTGTGTGAACGAGTCGAGACGAGTCGAGACGAGTCGAGAAGAATAAAATTGTTTCATTAAAGAAACAATTCTTCGTTTTCGAAACAATAGGGTTTGAAGATTTATCACACTTGAATTTGACTAATTCCATGTTAGATGTACGCGCAAATAAGTAAAAGGCGTAGAATAAAATTTTGTTTTTGTTCTATCGTTACTTTGAACACTAAAGTTTCTTCTCCTTGAAACTTGTACAATTTTTATTTATCATTTTATCGAACGTTAAATATCAACCATATAGATTAATCAAACATTTTGTCGTCTAATCTTAATATTTCAAAATATCCTAAAGTGTAACAAGTGTTAAGAGAAAATTTCAATCTTCAAAATCACGATAGACTTGGCAATAAAGTTTTTACACGCATTTGAATTTTTAGAATTTTTAAGAAAAAAAGATATCCTCGCTTTCCCAACCGCTACACGATTTAAAAACATTTTTAAAAAAAAAACAAACTCAGAGTTGTCAAAGTAAAAGCTTCACAGTTCAAAATGAGACCAAGTAGATTGTTGTACGATATCTTCCTTTACAAAGTTATGTTAGTTTAAACTATTTTTCATCGTCATTGATACAGTTGGGCTCTTCAATGTATGTAAACTATTTTAGAAATAGTAAACGTTAAGCGTTATGCGCGCGACATGTGCACAATATTTTTATAACCTTTTCAGAAATTTATGGTATTTTCTGCAATGCTGTTTACAAAATCGTTACTAATAATAATACTTGTACTAATAATCGTTACAGTACTATTTACAATGTAACGTTAACGTTTTCATCCTAAAATTGAACCTTTAATATCATTGTTGTCATTATTATCTTCGTTATCCTAGCCTACTTTCAATTTTTCTTTCTTTCTCTCTTTTCTGCGACACGTAAAAAGATAGACACAAGGTTATACATTAATTTTGCAATTTCGTTTCTTTTTGTTTCCCAATTTTGACTTGTTCGATACAAGGAAATGAGAGTTTCTTCTAGTTTTTTCTAACTTTCTCTTTCACTGCGTGTTTCTTATCGCGTTCGTACATTGTACGCACACTACATTCTCCCTGCTTCTCGTTTCTGAATTTTTTTTATCGTTTCGATATTCAATCATATTCCACTGCTGCATATTCATTAATGTATATTCATTAATCGAACGGTCAACTATTCTGAAAATAAAACGTACGGACTAACCTTACTTTTGTTTCTCAGTTGGGAGGTTAGTCGTCCAAGTTCGTCAATTTCGGCACACGATGCGAACGTATTCGTAGAACGAGACAACCGTGTCGTATGCAAGCGAGTTTCACACTTGACGATAATTTTGTAATAATTTTGTCGCTTACATGTACTTCTGTGGGCATGAGCGACAACGAGTGTTTCGAATAACCAACAAATATGGTTCGTGTTATGCTCTAGTTTCAGACGTGTTATCGAAAATATCGATATATATCGATATCGGTACGTTGTGAATGTGAGAGAATCACAAGTTCTCAAGTATGTATACGAAGAAGTGTGCAGCAGTTTAACAGTTTTTTAACTGATCAGCTGATGATCGGGAAACCTTGCTCGATCTGAAAGTAATTGTTATTTAACCTTTGGCTTTGGGTTTGACAACGATATTTGCTTAGTGTTACTAAGCAATTGCCCATTCGTGTCCCACCTGCAATATGTGAAATTTGTGAAAATGACTGGCATAATCACTTTGTGTATGACTTGTCTTATTATTTATTGCAGTTTCACCTGGTAAGATTCACGATAATTATTTTTATGCGATGTTGCAACATTTTTGTTTTTCCATCTAGTAAAACGCTGTTTTTATATTTGTTCATCAGGGTGGTGCCAAGATTTTTGGCATGGTTAGTGAAGAGACGATACAAGATTTATCTACGTGTCGGTCATATTTCACTACCGTATTTCATATTACGGGATGTAAATGTATCGAAAAATGGTTTTACATTGGTGAGTCTCTCATGAAAAATATCTTATATATTTATATAGGCAAAACAATTATATATATTATATACGCTTTTATTTAATTTTAGCAAGTGGAAGAGATTAGCATACGAAGTAGCCTATTCAGCAGTGACGTTGCAAAACTGTTAGCTGTGATTATGAAGGATGTTAGAATTAACAAAGATGTTCCGATAAAACCTGTACAAATAGTAGCAAGAGAGCCAAAGGATCCGGTGGATTTTCGAGACAAGAAGATTCCACCGATAATTATAACTTTTGTACAAGTATGTATGTATGACAATGACAATCTTAGCGCAGACACGGCAAGTTATCATTTCCACGTTACACTGGGAATTATCACTGCGACCAAGACTACTTGCTGACTGAAAGGTCGTTTGGAAATGTTTCAGTTTATGGCTGTGCACGTAGAAAACTTAAGTCTTCTGATTTTGGGCAACGGTTGGTTAGCCAATGGAAGTGCCGAAAGTCTGACATTGGATGGTAGTGCTGTTCACGGAGCTCGTACTCTTCTTGCATC